GATGTTTACACCATTTTAGTGTAAAAAATGGTGTAAACTGTTGGAGATGGCCTTAGAGCATCTCCAATGGTAAAATGTGCACGGTGCACACGTGGCATGAGAAATAGTCACATAAATATTAGTAAATAAATTCTTTCTCTCCTTATTTGAATGATTTTATACAGTTTTGGTAAGTTTTTCTCCACACTGTCAAGGAGACCGTCTAGATGTTGACATTGTTGTTGACATTGCAGAGAAAAACTTACCAAAATTGTATAAAATCATTCAAATAAGGAGAGAAATAATTTATTTGCTAATATTTATGTAGCTATCACTCATGCCACATATGCAACGTGGACATTATAGCATTGGAGATGCTCTTAGAGGCAGAGTAGAGTAGCACTCTAGCAGTAAGCAGTCCGCCCAAATCGCAACTTCCGCACGTCGCACTCCGCAGTCCCTCCTTCTTCCTCAGTCTCCAACTCTCTGGCTCGCCGCCTCTCGTCTCAGAGTCCGTTGCAGTCTTGCAGAGCCGCTGCCGGCAATCCTCGGCCCATAGCTTGTTTCTCTGATATTGAAGTCCGAAGCACTTGCCTACTTTGATAATTAATTTTAAAATTGAAATCCTTTTTAATTAGTTTAATTGCTTATTAATTTAATTACTTATTTACTTGAAATTGAATTGATTAATTGCTTCACAGTAAATTCTTTTGCAATTTTATTGATTATTTACTTTATGGTTTTAAAGTTTAATTGATTAATTGCTTGTATTGGTATAAAGTTAAGATTATTTGGGCAATTTTTGATTAATTACTTTCATTGCTTTACTTGCTTTAAATTTTTATTGATTAAATGGTTTAACCCTTTAAGAATTTAAAGTTGAAAACATTTTTAAATTTTTAGGTTACTCCTCATCATGTCTATTTCACAATTCGTAACACGTGTTGGGTCTTCTAGCCAGGATAACGAAGAAAGTAATAGAGAAAAACATCTTCATGTCGAATTTTTTAATGGTAATGTATTATACTCTTCTCACAATTTTTATACTTTGTAAACTTTAATAACAATTTATATTTTGGCATTTTGTAATAGTTTTAGCCATCCCTTACTTTTGCCCCTGGTCAAAGAAGATCATTCTCTTGAATACGGGCGACTCTTCTACAGCCAATTGCGAGTTTACACTGCCTACGGATGATTAGTTTTACTTTTTATCACTCTATGTATATCTATACCGAGAAATCATCTCATCAGGCCGGCCTGACGGGCTTCCCCGTCCGGCCGAGCCCGTTTGGGCACCTTCCCGGTGGAATTTTTTGATGAAATTTTTTGAGCATGTTCCTCATCAAGTCTAGTTTGTCCATACCAAATTGCAGCTCAAAATTCGATCGGGAAGGTCGTCAAATGATTTTTGCAAGTTAACTGGTCCGGAATATGTATTTTCCGGACCAGTTAACTTGGAAAAATCATTTGACAACCTTCCCGATCGAATTTTGAGCTGAAATTTGGTATGGACAAACTAGACTTGATGAGGAACATGCTCAAAAAATTTCATCAAAAACTTCCACCGGGAAGGTGCCCAAACGGGCTCGGCCGGACGGGGCAGCCCGTCAGGCCGGCCTGATGAGAAGAGCCCTCTATCTATACCTGCGGTCTGCGGAGTTTTAGTTATATTGGAAGAGTATTTTTGTACTGTCTGTACTCTATAGGCTGTATACTACGAAGTATATTTGTACTCTGTAGTTTAATTACCTTTAAAGTCTTTCAAATGTAATACTGGATATTTATACTCTAAAACTATGTTAATGAGAATAATACACGATTTCCATTCAAAACTTTATTAGTTTTCGTTGTGGGACGCTCCTCCGCAGAAGGTGGCGGGAGTGACAACTACCTGAACGGTCTCTTTAGTGTGCTCATCTTCCCCCAAGATTTAAAAATAATAGAAAGAAAAGGAAAACTAAGAGCCCGTTTGGTAACACTAAAATTGGCTGTATTAGTTGATTCTGCAGAAATTTATGAAGTTCCGACTAAAGTGACTGTATTGGATGATTCTGTTGGTTCATGAAAAAATTATATTTAAAATATTTTTTATTAATAAATAAAATAAAAAATTATATGAAAAAATAGCTAAAATGATCCTCTACAGTAACTTCATCCAATACAGCCAAAAAAGTAACTCCAACCTTACTTTTTCTGCTGTTTACACAATTCAGCGCGCGAAATCAAAAATTACGTGTTTGGTGAAAAAGCTGGCTGATAAGCCGGATAAGCCGAAAAAGAGCACCAAACGGGCTCTAAGCCTCTAAGAGTATATAAGAAATAATAAGAATGGAAGAGGGTGGGAGTCTGGGAGATGGACGAATTGTCAAAGAAGATAGAGTAGGAAACCGTAATAAGAAAAAAACAAAATGAAAATAAATCATAATTACCGGCTAAAATTAGTCTCATTCCATTAATTTGGCATATATGATTCTTTTTTTCAAGTAAACATGTTTATGTGATGCTTTTTTTAGTATATGGATCGTGATGGTTTTACAATTCTATAAGGGCTTATTTGACCTTTGTCCTACATTGCTAATATAGTACTCCATCCATCTCAAATTGATGGTCCTATACTTTTTGGGTTCAAATATTAAGAAAGTGGGGTAGAATGACTCATATGACCTTACTTTATTGCAATGTTCATTCTTTTACTTTTAGGGTTCATAAAAAGTAGGGATATAAATAGTAATCTAATTTAATTTTCTTACCAAAAAGGGAAACAAGACCATCATTTTGGGACATCCCAAATAGAAAATACAAGATCATCATTTTGGGACGGAGGGAGTATATATTATCTATCCAATGATATAATGCACTGAAAATAAACAAATCAACTATTCACATTTTAGGACATTATATATAAAATAGAAGTGTTGGATTGGTGGCCGATGGAGCAATCAGCCCGACTATGATGGACAAGTAGGCGGCGGTCAAGTCTCGGCAATGTGGTCGAATTTTTTATCAGCCTGCAATGAGACAATGATGGTGACATAGCTTCTCAGCAAGGTTGGAATCTGGAGGACGACGATGATAGAGCTTTCACTCCTAATTTAGCCATGACATCTGAGAAAGGCGCCAAGTGACTACATTATCCTGACCGGCGAATCTCGTGCGGGCATCCCGGTCGAGCTACTGAGTTGGGTGAGCAACAATTGGGCCCGCGTGCTAGTTGGGCAGCCAAGGCTATTTGGGCCTGGACCCAATAGCCAATTCATAACCTGTATATCTTCTTTATTTAATTAATAAAAATATTTATTTTAAATTACATTTTGATAATTTAACATATTAAGCCACAAAGATAGCTAGGCACTTCCTACGCAAGATATAGAGTAGCCTACGACAAAGGTTGCTTAAATTTAAGATATTCCATCTATCATAAATACATGTTGCTTTTCAAATTGGTGTCATAAATTTTATGTATATTTGGCTGTTTGCTCCCTCAAAGGCAGGGTTTTTCTTTGCCGCCGATCCATCTGTTCTGCGGATAGTTGATTTTAGTTGGTTTGGACCGAAGAAAGGAAGCACTGCTCTTGCGGCTGAGACGTTTTGTCGGAAGAGGGCGTGTTTCATTCGTCGACATTTTTAGGCGCAATTTGCAGGGAAAGATGAATGCATCACAGGGCTTGGCAGCGAAGAGGTTAACAACAAGCGGCGGCTTTGCTACGAGTGCGAGATGAGGAGAGTTGGACGAGTTTCGTACAGGTCAGATTTCGATAGACATTGGAGGATCAATTAGAGTACGTGGTACCAATGGTATGACCTCCTCTTGAACCACCGCCAATTCGCCAAAGGCTGAACGAGGTGCTAGCGTTCGTGAAAGTTATCCTATTAATTATCGTTATTTTAATTTGTTATTTGAATTTTTGTTATGGTCTATGTTGTTAGGTTTTCCAGTTTGTTTGGAAATTTAGCCTATTTTTATGTCGTTGGAAGTACATGTATCTATAGGACCAGTGGTAACAAAGTCAAGCTCACTTCATGTTTAGTGATTCATGTTGCTCTTTCATGGATGATTGTCTCAAAGTCTAGTCATAGTGTTTACGGTCGTAGTTTTTGGAGGTTAGTTGGTGTCAGATATGTTTTGAGAGAATTCCCTAAATAGGAGTAAAAACGTTTTGAAATTCCAAAATTGGAGTATCATGTTTTTTTATTCCATGAATAGGAGTAAATTTCTGCGAAATTTGACATTACGAGGTTTTAAACATGACATTTTTTCCAAACTTGACAGATTACTCCTATTCGGAGAATAAAAAAACATGATACTCATATTTTGGAAATTCAAAACGTTTTTATTCCTAGTTAGGACAATTTCTGATATGTTTTTCTTTGATTGATGTAATGATCCTAAAACTAATGATATACCCGTTTCAGTTTAAAACAAAAAACAAAAAACTTCTTCTAAATAAACATATTAAGCCACCCCATCTTTAAACACAAATACTTCAATAAATTCAACGGATTCCATCCATATTGAGGGTGTTTGGTTAATGGTCTATCGACCATTTTTTGACTGATTTGACTACTACCTGACTTTTTGACCAAATAAAGAGCTAATAAAGGTGTTTGGATAATTAGCTTTTTCACTTGGTTTTTTATCTCAAAGAGCTAAAATTAGAAAAGGGTTTTGGAGTTTGGCCGTTTGAATGAATATTCATCGCCAATTCCTATTCTGCCCGTACGGCTCCCTTCCCCTCATGCTCGTCACTTCCTCTTCCAGTCTTCCGCACCTTACAAGTTACAACAAAAAAAATACAGGGTGGAGCAAATTATTCACATCAAGTGCTTCTCCACTTTTCCTACGCCAAATTATCCGATTTTCTCTACCGAGGTATGCTTCTACCTTCTTTAATTTTCTTTTGGATTTATCTGTTTCAAAAATGGATTTATCTACACCAAATCCAATTTACTCTTATTAAATAAAAATGGATTAAGTCATTCAAAAAAATGGATTAAGTACTTGTATTAATAATATTAACAAAAACGTGTGAACATATACGTAGTATAAAAGTAGTTAATAAAAACCAAATTAATTGATGTCCTTAAAAGTAATTTAACAAGCTATCAGCCAATTGTCAACAATCATTTAACCAAATACTGATTTTTAAACAACTAACATTATCAGCCAATCAAAACAGTCGACAAAATCCGATGTCATCAATTAGCCAACACTCAACCGCCATTGCCAAACACCCCATTATCACACTTGTCCTCCATAATTAGGGTAGAGGTCAATCCCATTAATTTCCATATCAACGCCACTCATACAACTTGCCCAACGAAAACGTCCCAAACAAGAACACAAATCTCCAGCATCAATCTGACAGTCTTTGATACTTTTTTCTTAGTAAATGTGAAGAATCTCAAGAATCAATGTGTTGCAGAGAGGACAGCAACCTCGGTTCAACCGCAACTCAGTCGAACACACCCTGCAAAAAGTGTGTCCACACGGGATGAACGCCGCGCCCTTCTTCCTTCCCATGCACACGCAGCACACCGAATCGCTCCCCATCTGCATCTCCCCTGCATCGCCGCCGTCCGTTTCCTCCAACAACCTCATCAACGACATTCTGGTGGCCGGCCGTTTAATTGCATCGCCACCGTCATCCGCCGCGCGGTTGCTGGGCCCCACTTGCCCGCCGTCGACGGCCGCCCTGTACTGCCGCTCAGCCTCCAGCGCAGCAGCAAGATTCGTCCCTGATCCCGCCGTGCACTCCGGCTCTGACTCGTTCTCCGGCGGATTTTGCATACCCATTTCCGCAATTTCCGCTCGCCGGACTTCCTCGCCGCCTCCGCCGCCGCCTCCGTCGTCGACTATGAGGCTGACAGCGGCCGGAGCGAGACCCCACGAGGCGCCGCAACAACTGACCCCTTTCATCCCTAACCACCGCCGCATTAGACTCTTTCGTCTCCTCGGAAGTCGATCGCCGGAGTCCATATCTCCCATCCCCTGCAACTCAAATTCCCAAAACACAAGATATCAGCCATTTCTGAAAGCGCAATACAAATTGGTATACATGTATACAAACTCAGATTAAAAGGGAATAAATTGAAAGAGACCGCGAAGAACAACCCACCAGCGCCGCCGCCGCTAAAAATTGAAAGACTTCACAGGGAAAGAAAGCGACTTTCAGTTCTTGAAAACAATCAAATTTCGCTGAATTTGGTAACGGGTGTGTTGCCTTTTAGCAGAACTAAAAAGTCTGATGGTGCTATTTAAGTTTAGACAGAAAAACACATAAATGGAAGAATTAATTTGATTGAAAATGGATATTAAGTGGGCATGCCTTAATTTGATAAAAAAAAAACATTAACAAGCGAACAAAATAGAAGGAGAGGAGAAGAATTAAAGGGACCCGGTCGACGGTCGTGGCGGGCACATCACTGGCCGGTGGCCCGGAAGTTTATTTTTTTATTCTTGCTACAACTGAGATGGGGCCGTTTATAAATAGTGGCTGTCTTCCATTCCATGATTGTGTGCTGATTATAGCAATTGAGTATGGTTAGAAAATGGTTTTATTTTAGGCGACTATAGTACCTTTCACTAATCCAAAAAAGGTTGAATCCCCAACCTCAAGGGTTTCCCACGCCCCGATCCGACAGAGCACATGGGAGGAGCTAAGTCACGGTGATTCAGTCAGCAAAGTGGCAGTAGGCCCAATGCCCATACACCCGTGCGCACCAGAGGTCCAACCTTATTTCAGGTTCTGTGACCTCCACCCGGTCGTTGTGGGATTCGAACATTGCCGATCATTCTGACGGTGAAGATGTTGGGATCCTGCTTACGCGAGGCACCAAAGTCAGATATATACTCCTTGCCATGCGAATTTGTGATCAAAATTGGAAGCTTGAGTGGAAGGTCTTCAGTTGGAGAAGGTAGATGAGTTTGGGTAAGTGTTTATGTCGTTGAACAATTATTATTTGCCCTATAATTATGTATATTGTCTAAGTTTTTTCATTCTTAATATGAGCTTCAAAATCTATGTCACTGTTTTGTATGAAAAACAACTTTCCAGTTTCCACTTTCTCTATATTAAAATATTGGTTTTAAATGGATTGAAATTGTCCGGGGTAATTTTAGAAAGAGAACCAACTCTTATATTTGCAAATTGATGCGGTTGTATGATGGGGATGCGGTTATATTTGCAATTTGTGCAGGGGATTACTTGCTCCACTTTTTTAAATCATCTTATGACTTAAAATTTGTTTTCCTCCTTTTTTCATTCTCCATCTCTAAAATCAGAGGTACAACAGATATTTGTATATATACTCTAGTTGTATGTGTATATATGTCAATGACCTCAATTCCTATTTTTCTTTTTAAACATCGGGCTGTACTAGTGCTTTGTATTTGTGTTTTGGGAGGCTCCACTTTGCCTCGATAAAGGATGTGTTAAATGTTTGAGTGTATGATATATATTTATATACCTAAATAGGTTAGCCGTTTGCTTCTCCCTTCACGTGTTTCATTCCTTGCCACTTCCATCCTTCTCACCTGCTCATAAACTTTTAATAGGACCCTTTTGTCTTCACATTTATGAGATTTGTTGTTTATTGCTTGTACTAAAAAGAGTTGTTGATCCAGGTCCATAATGTTCCTCAGCTTCAAGATGAATCCAAAGAAGTTGAGTGTTAATGGTGAAGCTATTACTGCCATAAATGCCAGAAGGACATCAACGATTTGTATACCATGTAAATGCAAGAAGACAAGGCTCAGAGCAGATGAGAAAACAAAATATTTTTTGTTACTCGTATCCGATCTCACTGACACCTCTTCATTCCAATTCCCCAGAAAACAAGAAGATTTGAAGCACCAATGGTTTTAAACTCTAACAAGTTTGAATTTGATTAGGTTGTCAAATTCAAAGTGTTGCAAAATGACATCAAGTAATTGTGTGACAGAGGTAGGTGTTTTAAACCTTTACTCGACTATATGTCATTGGTTTGCCATGTAACTGTGAACTGTCAGCTCATGAGTTCAAGTCTGGCATCATCACTCTTATAATCTGAAATTTAAGTCGGCTTTATACTGAGTTTTATGTTTGTTTACACATGATAACCTACTTCCTGTATTCTCCTAGATATACTAACTAAACCTTTATGAGCTATCTGTCTTTCAATCTTGCATCCATCATCTTTTGATTTCCTGTTGGATGAGAGTGCCTCTTATTCTCCTACTCTATATTGTAATATAACGTCCCAAAAAGAGTTCAATGAGTACTTTTGGAGCATATATTTTGATTTATTGATTTTTTACATTGTTGCGGGAGGGAGGATGAGGGTTCTTTTATTGGAAAGAAGAAAGTGATGCTAAAGGGAAAACTTAAGAGTTGAGTTGGTAGGAAGAAGGCAAAAGGCTAGTTTTTGAGTTAAGATATGAGTTTATGAGTGTTAATCATGAAGTTATTAGCGAGTTACGAGTTGCACTGCAATCTGAATTCAAGGGTTTCAGTATGACTCAACTTAAGCAATTCAATGCTCTTTACTGAAACTAGCATCTAATACGTCAGAGAATATTAACACATCAGAAAAATTTAAGAGGAACTGGATTGGCATTACACAAAGTTGGTTTATCCAGACAAAAATTGGCATCTGAAACATTGTTATAGGCAACCCCAAACTGTTCCAAAATTAAGACTTAACAAGTACATACAGACATGCATTACAGAGTATATAAATATATTACAAAAGAACACCCAAGGGTTTCACAATGACTTTGTTACTAATAAAACCAAAAAAATGGGCTTCATGGTTGCACTAGAGCCTGCTGCATCAGGTGGCATTATCAATGCTTCAGCTGGACTTATTTTGTCTTTCTTGAATTGGCAGACACATTTTTCACTATCTTTTTTCTCTTTGAAGTTGTCATGATGGTTTGATGGACTCCGGGTGTGTATCTGAGGCCTCAACTTTCATATGATCTTTCATTTGTTCATGAAAATGACCTTCATTAAGCCCTGTAGAGAAAGACACTACTTCAAACATTCTGTTTCAAACTTATTAGACCAAAAACACATAAATAATTGAGAAAGGGGGTAAATAAGCCCACGTACTAAACAAAAAGGTCAAATAAGCCCTAATTTAGGAGGCTCTGTCCGGCCGTCGCCATTTGGGGCTGTTCCCGGTGGAATTTTTTGATGAAATTTTTTTAGCATCTTATTCATTAAGTCTAGTTTACTCATACCAAATTTCAGCTAACATATCAATCGGGAAGAAATTCAAATGAATTCTTGAAGATAACTGCGCTTTTAATTGAATACCTTCCTGATTGAAGTTTTTTTTAGCTAACATTGCTAGTTTTTTTTAGCTGATTATATATGTACGTATGTTTGGAAGTTGAAACTGAAGTTTTGATGTTCAAAATGACGATAACCATGGTCAGTTGGTCATACTTGTATTTCTTATAATTTTAAACATAGAATGTCTTAATGATGATTCGTTCAAGAGTTTTTTAAATAAGAGCAAAAAAATGGCAAGAACCGAACTGTTGAGGTTTGATTCAGTTCCATGTCGATTCTACAAATAATTTGTATGAAGCGAATCAATATTAAGAGTTTAGATTTTCTAAATAATTCTATTTATTTTATCCGATAACCGAATTGATCCCAAGCATAGGCTTGTGTATAATTTTAGAGCAAATAGATTCTCTTTGAAGCATTACATTTTTTCTTATTTGAGTAAAATATCTATTGTTTTACACAGTAAAACTCAGTTAGAAACTGCTGACATGTCACTCTCTCATTTGTTAAAAAAATTATATTATCACAAATATTAAAACATTTAATTAGAACCGCTCATATAATGAATAGAGCAACGTAACCAGAGAAAAAACATGAGAAAAACCTATGTTGTAAAAACCGGACCGGAGAGTGACCCGGCCACATGTCTGGGTCACGGGTCAACCCGGACCTGGTGGGTCAACCCGGTCAACGCCGGAAAACCGGTCAATGATTATATGTCTATATAATAATGGTAAACATATAATTATATATAAAATTATGATAAAAATTAGTTATTATTCATATTAATCAAGTAACAATACTACTTATTAAGCATTTAATACACTCTTATAATATTTCAATGTATATTTTTATCTTATAAAAATATATAATTATATTTTTATTTTTATTGTACATCTATATTATAATTTGGCATGATGTTCATTCTTAAATAAATATATAAATATATTACGTAGTTTTTCTTTTTAAGGTATTGAAATTGCAATTTTATTGGTCTAAAAAATGCATTAAAAATAAAAAAGAAATTACTTATATCGGTAAAAACACCTAAAAACTCGGTTTTCCCGGGTTTTTCGGGTTTCTTGGGTCCGGGTCTTGATCGGGTTTTCCCGGGCCAGCCGAGTTTTTCCGGTTTTTGACCATTTCCGGGTTTTGAAAAAACCGAACCGGTTTTTTGTCCGGGTCACTGGGTTCCGGGTCAACCCGGCCGGGTCGGGTCGGTTTTTTCAACATAGAGAAAAACTAGGATGAAAAATGCATGATCAACAGTGACTCCACAAGGGTTCGTATCTCGGCAGCGGAAACGTTTTGTAATTGTTTTTTGAAAATTAAACGTTTTGTAATTTATATTCTCTTCAAAATGAAATGTTTGTACTGCGGTGTATCTTATGACTTCAAATTTTATATTAAAAAGAAAACATGACTTCACAAATGAAAACAACAATAAATAGTTAATTATTCTCCTTTGTAACTAGTATAATACATGTGCAATGCACGAGATATTAATTATTTCATATTGAGTATTTTTGTTATAAAATTTTAAAAAAGGATGTCAAGTCACTTGACTCAAATGAAATCAAATGAAATCATATTTTTCACAAAATAAATTTCTAATACATTAATAAATAAAATGTAATCGAAGTTGAACATTTGAATAGTGCAATTATATACTCGTATATAAAAACAGTTGTGGTACATTTTTTTAACTACACTAACTCACAATTAATGCAGTGATCAATTAGTGATGATCACCAGACGTAATCACCACACCATATGAAACCGAAGATCGGTTATCATAGTCTAAACAATATGATCAATCATTCGTGAAGACGCAAACCCTATATATACAAATAATAATTCTTCACATAAATTTAAACCTTTTCCATATAAAACTTGATCGAATTACATGTATCATGGTTAAGTGATGGTTTATTACTTTGCTCACATTCTTTTTAAATTTCGAATATATTTTATCATTATGTTACCTACAAAAAGTTGTCAGTACGTACCCATACGGCCATACATAGGCTGTTTATTT